TGTTTAAGTTTTCTTTATTACTGAAAAGATTTCAATCTGATAATTATCTAGTTTTTCTTATTTTTTTAATGAAGTAAAATATTTATTTGTTAGGCATTATGTGATGACGTCATTTAACCCATGGTCACGTGCTATGGGCATACAAAACGTGATGTATCTGTTGCCGTTCAGTCCAACCAGTCTATTATCCGAGCTTTGTGGAAACGTTATCGGCTCACTGGGAACACGGCTGAACGTAATCCTGGTAGACATCAGATAACTAAACAGAGGCGAGACCTTTAAATTATTATCGTGCTATTCCTTGCACTTAAGATGAAATATTAAAACGAAAAGTTTTTCACCGCTGCGAAAATCGAATCCACGTCTTTCGGATTCGCGCCCAGGCGCTATAATCACTAAAATATGTATCTCATATGTTATGAGATCATACTTCTTTATTACGAACATTGCCAGAAGAGAGCCAAAAACAACTGCAGCACAATTCGTGAAGATGCTGCTTGAATGTGTTGTATTTTAATGATTAATTATTTAAACTTTTTACCAAAACTTCTTTCAATACTCGTTTGTATCATCAGGGTCCAATTTTAAAAAAATACACAGATAAAGTGAGGATTGAAATTTTTCCACCTATAGACGACATTTTAGTAATTAAGCTAACATTAGGATTAGGCTCTTTCTTATGTTGCCCTATCTAGCAAAATCACAACAATTAACTTTTATTTCGGTTTCTCATGAAAAATATCAGATACATTTATTTTTTCGAATAACAATTAAGAGAATATAAAGCTAAAATAAATAAATAATTAAAGTGTTAAAGTTGTTTTACTTTGCATATTGAAATATACATCCGCTATAGGAATACAGCGAAAACAATAAATAATTTTCTAATTAATTACGCTTGCGCAATAAGAACTCAAGTGTAATTAGCCACCGTCTGGCACCGTTCGTGCAACGCTGAATACTTTCCTGAGCCGTCGTTCTATCTCGATGAGTATTTAATGTAACTTAAGATTTTTAATTTAAATTGTAAATTAATCATCTTTAGAAGACCCATATAGTTTTGAAATTATTATAATAGGAGATAGTTGGAGATAATGGACCTAAAATTGCATGATATACGTAGGTCATAGTCATTTTTGTCTAATATCTCACATCTGTTATAAGGAATTTTTTTCACAAGCTCTTATTTATTTATTTATGTATTTATTGTACACAAAACACAAGATACAAAAAAAAATGTTTAAAAAAGTAATGTACAAAAGGTAAGCTTAACTCAATGCATGAGTTCTCTGCCAGCTAGCCTGGTGAGAAAAATATTTGATTGAAGGTAGCTGAAAATGTGTTTAGTGCACAGAGATATTTCTTTAACATGCGTAAATATATATATTAATATAAATACATAAATATATCTATAAACATATGTACACAATACATAACATAACTTAAAAATGTATTAAAAAAAAAAGATAGAAAACAAGATATATAACTATAAGGAGAAAAATACTTTATGTGGATAAATAAAACTCCTTTGCTCTTTTCTTGAAAACGTTCGATGATGGACTGGCACGGACATTATGAGGTAAAGAGTTACAGAGACGCACCGCGTGTACTGTAAAAGAGCTGCCATAACAGGAAGAAGAAATTTTAGAAGAAGGGATTTGATCTCACGACAGGGTTGACCACGCGGTACCATGTACTCAAAACGCTCACGGAGGTACAGAGGAGCCGCAGGATTTTTGAAAATTGAGTAAAGTGTGGATACTACATGCAAATCTCGACGGCGACGTATGGGTAACCATTTCAACTGGGATCGGAAGCTAGAAATATGATCGTATTTACGCAGCCCAAAAATGAAGCGTATACACAAATTTTGTAAGCGTTCCAATTTATTCAGCAGTTCTTCCGCAGCTTCCAAGTAGCATACGTCCGCGTAGTCAAGAAGAGGTAGAAGAAGGGACTGGGCGAGTGTAATTTTTGTTTCAAAGGGCAAAAACCTTTGGAGACGCCTGAGAGAATGAAGCGAGTAATGTATCTTCCTGCTCACTTCATTAATGTGATTGGTCCAGGATAACTTGCTGTCAAACAAAATGCCAAGGTTCTTAGCACACGAAGAGTATTGTATAGTAATACCATCGTAGCATACCGGTGGCAAGTTATTACCGTTGATGAAATTGAGCATATACGTGCTGCCAAAAATAACCTCTTGGGACTTTGCTGGATTAACTAGAAGTCCAAAAAATTTTGCCCAATTACAAATTTTTGAGAGATCATGGTTTACTCCAGATATAGCATCATGCATCTCGTATACCTTAAAATGGCGGTAAAGCTGCAAGTCGTCTGCATAGAGATGAAACTGAGAAGAGATTACATGAGTGACAGCATTAATAAATATTTAAAATAAGAGAGGAGATAAGACGCTACCTTGTGGAACTCCCGCAGCAAGATCACACCAGCCTGATGAAGCATCATCGTAGCGGACACACTGCGAGCGACCCCGCGGTAAGAATCAAACCAAGTAAGTGCAGGTGGAGATAAGTTAAGAGATTTAAGAATACCTAAGAGAACATCAAAGTCAACGGAGTTAAAAGCGCTGCTGAAATCGAGTAGGATCAAAACTGTCAACTGCTTGCGGTCTATAGCTTAGCGAATGTCATCAGACACCTTAAGGAGAGCCGTAACCGTACTGTGGCCAGGACGGAAACAAAACTGAAAATGACTTAGCAGACCATTGAGGTTTAAAAAGGAGGATAGCTGTTGCTGTACAATGCTCTCCAGGACCTTCGACAAGATGGGTAAAATAGAGATGGGGCGATATTGTGAAAAAGATGAAGGATTGGAAGTTTTAGGCAGGGGGATGACTTGTGCTTTTTTCCATACCGAAGGGAAAGAGCCTGTCGTCAGTGAGAAATTGAGAATATGGGTGAGAACTGGGACAAGCTCATCCAAGATTAGAAGGATCATCTGATGATGAATTCCATCAACGCCCACTGCCTTAGTAGAAATAGAGCGAAAGGATCTCTTAACGTCACACTCTGAAACCGGTGCAAAAAAGAAAGGTGTACACTTGGGTAGAGACTGTAGAAGAAGACGATTAAGGGTGATAGACTTAATGGTGTCATCCAATATGACAGGAGAGCGAGAAAAGTGTGTATTTAGTGCATCAAGATCAATTATCATGGGTTCATAATGAGAGGATTTTCCCACACCAAGTGACTTTAAAAATTTCCAAACCTGATTATTTGATGAATTTTCAATATTTCTGCGAATGTGGCGTCTCGCATCCCTACACAAACGATTGCAGCGATTTCGTAGATGTTTGTATGCTGTTAAATTATTTTCAGAGGGTTACTTCCTTAGGCGTCGCTTGGCCTTGTCTCTTTTGGACATAACTTTTTTTATTTCATCCGTCAACCAAGGAGCCGGCAACCTCTTAGCCCTAACACATTTTACTGGAGCATGTTGATCATAAAGGGCTCTGAGTGTTTTATTGAAATCATCAATCTTTTCGTCAAGTTGAGTTGGAAAGATAAGCGCCCGACCAATCAGCACGAGTCGCATCACCACGCAAGCGCTCCACGTCAATGCCCTTGAAATTGCGAAGATAAAGTAATTTTGGTTTGGGTTTAGGAGGACGTATGTTATAGGAGAGATATATAAGGTCATGATAGGAAAAAGAAGCGGAGAGTTGTCCATGAGTGACGACCATATTAGGATTAGAGACTAGGATCAGATCCAATAAAGAGGGGTTAGTGTATTGGGGGGCGTGATGCGTGGCAGATAAGGGAAGAATATGCATATTGAGCGAAGCAACTAGGGAACGGAGCCGTTGAGCACGGAAATCAGATTTTAAAAGGCAAGTATTGAAATCACCAAGGATAATGGTATGTTCCTACAGAGGAGAAAGTAATTCCATCTTGGATTCGAAAGAAGAAAAGTAGTCGATGTGAGAATTAGGGCTATAGAATACTCCTAAAAGTAGCTTGATGTGCTGTAAGGTAACTTCGACAAACAAGTGCTCAGTGAGTAACAACTAGGCGAAGTGTGCAATATTTTACAAGGGATGTCAGCTCTTAGATACATGGCATCACCACCGCCACCCTTTTCCGTTCTATCATTGCGAATTAAGCGGTATCCAGGTATAGGGTACTGAGTAGATGCAAGAGAGGGCTTGAGGAAAGTTTCGGAAATGAGTATCGCAACGACCACAGAAGAGTCAAAGGAGGACTGAAGATCAGAATAGTATGCCGGGACACTCTGGGCATATATATATGTACTATATTGAGATAATTTCTGTTCACGCTAAGCCGCAATTTTAAGAGATCACAAAGCTGAACAGAAGAATCAGAAAAGGCGCTGGCATATTCCTCATCCGATGCGCAAGACGATGAACAGGAGAAAAAAGAGTCATTGAAGTCGTGCATTATGTTTATAAAGTATAATGTTATAAATAAATGAAAAAAAATATATATATATTTATAAATATAAATATCTATATGTGATAAAAAAAAATAAAAAAATATATAATTATAAAAGAAATACCTAAAAAATTATAGATAACTCAATAAAACAAAACTGTATAAAATAATGAGTTCCAATCGGACCCTAATTGCACCTCACCATTAAAATAACATTCAGTCACACAAACTCAGTAAACAGATATATACATTAAAAACAACATAGTAAAATAATTCTGGCCATTGGACACAGATGAGAAGCAGAGAAAAAAAAAAGAAAAAAAAATAAATGAAAAAGGAATACACAAGACGTAAAATTCAGGTAAAATTTGGCAACACTAGAATGACATGGATGACAGATGACAGCAATACAATGTTGATAACAACTTGGTCGTGGAAAAATGTCAAAACAAAAACAAAAATTGTAATTTTGTAAGGTGATTCTAGATATTTTAACAGATTGTTATTTATTTGAAATGACATCAAGATAATTTCATTAAAAGTGCTAAACCAACCAAGTTCGTTAGCCAGGCACAACATTGTTTACTTTGAAACAGTTTTCGGTTTAGTGCATTTTCGGACCGGTCGAGGTTGTTCTTGAGTTGTCGGCTCTCTGGAAGGAGTACGTACAGGCTCGGACTGCGATGACGTACCAGCACGGGCGGTTGGCGCACTCACAACCTGCTGCACATTATGTGGCGTTGGGTAGCGCTGGATCAGCTCCTCAAGCTCGGACATGCGCTCGATCCTACGACGAGATTTGTTTGGCAGGAGGACAACAATGCGGTCCTCTGAAGTCCAGCAATCCTTCACGCCAAAGTGTATGCGAGCACGCTTGAAGACTTCGTGGCGCGACTTAGTCAAGAATTCGGATAAAGTAACACCGGATCCCTTGAGACAAGTCTTATTCTCCCACACCTCACTACGCTTCTTATAGGCTTGGAAGCGAACCAAGATAGGTCGTGGTCTACTGGAGTCCTTCCCCCCCCATTCGATGACAAGAGGATATGTCGGCTTCAGAAAATTCAGGCAACTTCATTTGGTTCGTTAATGCTTCAATAACAGAAGCTGCAGGAGACCCTTTTTCCTTTTCTGGGATACCGTGAATTAGTAGTATTTTTCTACGTGACGCAGTCTCATGTCTATCAAGCCCCAAAAGAAGTAAATCTTCTTGCTGTTTCAGCATATTAAGATTGCTCCAGACTTGTTGCCTGAAATCTGAGAACTCACGTGCAAAGATCTGGAGGTCACTTTGGGACAGGCTGGCGTCAATTTTCTTTTGGAAGCGTTCCATGTCACTATTAAAGAGGGCACTTGGGTTGGAGAGCTCCCCGTAAAGTTCCATCTTGCTATTGTTATTAGTAGTGACTGAGGAGATAGTGAAGAGGAAAAATATATTTCTGAGGTGTAACCAAGGTCAGCAATAAACTATTTACACATTAATTAGTTAACCAATACAATGATTTTTAATTGTTTAGATTAAATCTTTGAAGAGCAGTTATAATGCACCTTGACACTTTTGCCTGTCTTATTGTTATCTATAAAGGGACGTTTTGCAAGATTAAGTTCAAGCAAGTTAATTTTTTCTATGTTTAGAAATATAACGTTTTCACTAATAACGGTGAAAGTAAAAATAAAATATATATCGATAAAAACCAATCCGTAGTGACGTAGACGTTTTCAAACGAATGCTTTTCGGCTGTCAAATTTTATTGGCAACAAACCATTCTATCGAAAATAAGTCGCAGAATTCGTAATTTCAGTGTCTCTCAAGCGTTGCAAATTTTACAAGATTTCCATATAGATTGACGCGAGAGGTATACTTTATTACCTCTAGTATATTTTAATTTTGTAGGGAAATATTTTTCTTTTTGCTTTACTATGATAAAAGTCGCATACCTCAAGAATGGGCCTTATGGACGTTAAGAACTTTGAAATTCAATAATAAAAAAAAATAAAAATCAAGTGCATTCCCCAAAACTTTGAGATTATTGAATATACACCGTTTAAGACTAAACCTAGCATCTAAGTTTGACAACGAACTTCAATCTTTTAAAGGAAGTCAGTCGATGACTTCCTCAAAACTGAGACGGCTTTTGCCCAGGTGCGGCAACTGGAGCTGCTGTACAATTTGATCCCTCAAACCATCTAAACTGCTAAAACGCGGGATATCAAATCCAAGGTCTTACATGTAACGTGTTGCACCAATTCGGTAAGCGGTGTAAACCGATAAATATATCTATATATCTATCACTGTTTTTATAGAAGGAAGTGCCTACGCATACCCTCTACTGCTCTTCCCCCAGGACGCGACCTTGGTTGCAAGGAGTAGAGAGAATGGCTCCATCTCTAAATACCCTAAACTTGTCCCCCGCACCCTCCTCGCACGCATCCAAAGTCCTCTCAATGAGCCATTATTTTATTTTGGCTTATCCCCGTATATAGAAAATATTCGAAAATGAACTGTGCCCTAATTTATAAAAGTGGTGACTGTTAGAAGTAATGTAATTCATATTTGATTTCAAAAAATTACTTTTGAAATAGTATCCAAATAAAATCGAACTTGACTTACAACACGCAAACCTAGTTAAATAAACAGTCGGGTCACGTGTAAAGGGAATGAGGGATCGTTGTAAGACTACCTATGTCTGGTTCGCCAAATAATGGACTGTGCTGTGTAGTATAAATTAAGTAAGTAAAAATAATAAAACTTCAATGAATGCTCATGATTATAGAAATTACAAACGTTAAACAATTTTGCATTGTTGTCAGAAAAAAAAATTAAAATGGCACTGAGAATTTTCAACATATGTGCTAATATTCAAGTAAATCACATGTTGAAAATTTCGCTACTTGAAATTTTATTGCTGAAGCAATACAACTGTGAAAAATTAACGTCTTTCAATATTTACCTATTTGGTGAAATTATGTATTTTGTTCTTCTTTCATTCCTGGATGACCATTAATACTCATCAGGAGTGGTCATTAGCTGCCCTTTCCAAAAATTTTCGAGGTGGTAGAGCCATTAAGTGGCTTTTACTGCAATTGAAAATCAAACCTCATTATTTTTAGATTTTTTTTTATGACAAAAGTTGCCAAACGAGCAGACGGGTCACCTGATGTTAAGTGAATACCGCCGCCCATGGACATCTGCCACACCCGAGGGTTACAGATGCGTTGACTACCTTTTGAAAATTGGGCTCCGGCTACCACACTCACCAGACGAAACGTGAAAGTATTTCTTCTGTGAGGGCGTGGTACTTACCCGGACGGGCCTGCCCATTCGTGCAACAGCCCTGCGTGGCCCTACCACCGTAGATATTTATAATCCTTAATTATTTCGAATTTTATATATTAACGTACGATATGAAACTCCTTTATCATTCCTTATTCTTGAACCATCGAGTTCCGAGAGTTCCGTACCCAAAGGGTAAAACGGACCCTATTACTAAGACTCCGCTGTCTGTCTGTCTGTCCGTCTGTCACCAGGCTTTATCTCATGAACCAGTCAGTTGATATATTTCTATTGCCGCTAAAACAAAAATACTAGAAAACAGAATAAACAATATTTAAGTGGGGCTCCCATACAACAGCCGTTTTTTTGCCGTTTTTATAGATAATGGTATGGAACCCTTCATGCGCGGATCCGACTCGCACTAGGCCGGTTTTTTTATTTTATCTAAATACACAACTCGTCATTATTGTAATAATCATGGCGTACACCACTCGCCCGCTGTTATTATGCGACGAAATTTAATAACACTAATTGCCGGAATTTGAATGCCTCAGTTTCGGCGCGCTTGTGTCATATCTACTTCTCGTTTATATATAATATCATTAGTTTTTATTAGGCTTTAAGAACAGAGAAGACGAATGGTTTCTCTTGGCAGTAATTAATCAAACCCTTGTTTTCTTAGAGTCAAACTGTTACAAATCCACTTGAAGGAAAATTTAGTCTACATAAAATATAAAAGACCAAATAAGTCCGCGGTCTGTAAGCACACATTAAATCGCCTCAATCATTTCAGAATATTTGATATACACAGATCCTAACAAACCTAAGTCGGTTAAAAAATGAAACTTAAAAAACGATAGACAGGAGAGTCGGGTGTTACCAGAATGGAATTATTATTTAAAGTCCAAAATACAACACCGCTTTAAGACAAGAACCATCAGTTTTCTGGTTAGTGCGGTAAAAATTATGGTAGCCGGGTTAACAATAATACCTAACACATAACATATTAAAGGCTAAAGTTTTGATCTGGGCCATGGCCCGAATCAAAATTACGACGAATTACTGGCGAATTAATGGTGGTTATAAGTAAAGCTTTCTTTGTATGTTTCCAATATATATATTCTACAATAAAGGCAGTAAAATACTGTCACAAAATACTCGGTATTTTGCTTCCAACACGTGGGCCATCTGGTCGCATGAATTCAACATTGCAAAACATTACAGGACGTAAAGAAAATAAAAGGTGAAATATATATAAAATAAATTTGCAAGTTATTTGTTTTGGTAACAAAAATGCAATGGGTGGAAGTATAATACTCTCATTAATTATTCATTATAAATGAACTATGCAATGTCTAAGAAGCGACCTTTGCCCAATATTGTGACATTACCAAATCTATAGACATCCAGAATATAAGTAATATATCCAAAAATACCAAAATGATAATGATTAAAAATTGGGATTTAGAGCTAAAATTTTACTCAGGACGCAGTATGCTATATATGCATGCCAATTGGGAAGAATTTTGCGGTCGAAGATTCGTCTCTTAGGCCAGACAAACGATGACAACAGTTTTCGTTGTGTATCTGTGTGCGCTTTATAAAGTCGTAAAAGATTGACCGACAGGAAAAAATCTTTACTGAACATACTGAACATTTCTGAGTTCAACTTGGCTTTCCTTCGTATTTTAAGATACAATAATATGTTGTATTAATACAACATATTATTGTATCTAAAAATAAATAAATTAATTTATTATATAAAAAAATCACAAAGCCAGATAGTATGAAGCGATCTTCCTTAATATTACTATTTAAGTTCTTCGATTTCGTTCATATTCAATTTGTAACATAACAAATTTGTCACAAGAAAATACCCAACGCTTTTTGTATTTGGGAGTAATAAATCCTTTCCCTTTATGTAGAATATCGCCTTCGCCGGTTACTTGATTTATTAAGCTTATAAAATTTTACAATATTCTCCTCTAGTACTCCTACAGGAGAATATTATTTAAAAAAATGTTTGTAAAAGTATTATTACGTTTTTATTTCCACAAAACATTTAAAATGTCTTTCACTATATCGGGGTGACTTATTGATATTGAAACCTAAGGCGTAATTCCGACATTATATCATGTAATATAATAAGCGGTTGTTGTATATTTGACAGCATTCTCTGTGTAATAGTTCAGCATCGAGTTCATATCACCCACATTCAGTTGTTATCCCTACTCCGATTTTATAGATTACTTAATTTTTGTCAATATGCTTTTTTGAAATTTGTGTCAGTATCCGGAATCCATCTTGAAGTAAACAACAGGCTTATTTTTTTACCTTGCTTTTCTATTTTCCGGTTGAAACGAAAAATATTGGGGGTTAGGTATGTACATAGTTTGTCAAAAAAACGAACGGCAAAGGTCATTACAGGCATTAGTGGATTGGGCAAATGAAATCAAAGAACCGTAATGTAATTTTTTTGGCAAGTAAAAAAAAATGTCCCGCTGAGTTTCTTACGCCGGTTCTTCTCAGGTCAGTGGCTTTCCTTCCGAACCGGTGCGGTGGTAGAGTTTTTTGACTATCAATAAGTAAGTGAATGCTTCTATATTGAATAAAGATATTTGACTTGTACTTTGACATTGAATAAAAAATTCGTCATATAATATGACAATTAAAAAAACTTTATTTTAAAAAGTTTCTGCGTACAGTAAATAAGATCTTTTTTGCCGTAGGAGTTTCGATTTAATTAATTTACGTGTCTCTGATGCCAAATTCCCGAGAATTTTCATCATGATTTTTTGCAACCCCATATTACAGTGTCTTTTCAATTAAGTCTCTTCAGAGCTATTTTTACAAAAATGGAGGGTTGGATAAAATTACAGTCATATTTTTTTTATTGAAATCAAAAACTAGTACCAGAAAGTTGGAGAAATAGTTTTAACATACATAAAAAAAGTTTTTCATCTAGGGTGTTGCAGGCGTAATATATCTGAGAGGTCATACTACACTTTAAATATTTTCGTTTGATTGTTCTGTGAGAACGTGGTATTTCTCTTGTCAAATTAGCTCATATAAATGTACAGTAGAATCTGTTATGTAATTTTATTCCCCAT